TGATCTATATTTTCATCTCTATTCGATGTTGAATTTTATAACTTAAATCTCATCACGTCCCACAAGATGATGGCTCGTTCTCATTTTTTTTATTTTTTTTTCAATTGGATCGAATTGTCCTTTGGAGCTTAATGGATTATGATACCATGTTAAGATTTGAGGTAAGGAGTAGCTTAAATCTTTATAAGTTGGTCTATATTTTCATCTTTATATGAAGTAGGAACATGTGGCAAAAAAGTGCAAAAATGTACATAGCTTGTGTACTATGGATCGGATTGGATTGGTATAATATCAAAACAAGCATGGATTGAGAATAAAATATGTGAACAGAATATATAATAGCACAAGGTGAATGACACATATGAAGGGGATGCTAACAAAACTTTAGATACAGAAAAGAATGGAGAATAGATACCAAACCAACAAGACCACCATGCACATCCATACTTTGTCCTACTACCTACTCAAAGCAAATCCCAAGTAAAACTAGGTTGCGCTGGATTAATTGTCCTTGAAGCCACTGTGGATGATGAAGGGGCACCCGGCATCGACGGTGCAGGTGCAGGTGCAGGTGCAGAATCGAACGTTTCCCACTGTGTTGTAATCACAAAAGCTCCTGAGGCCGAAGGCTGCTGTTGTTGCTTCGGTGGTGAATCCATTAATGACAGCCCGAATGGATTCTGGGGTTGTTGCCGTTGAATGGGAGATGAAGCACTCTCATTTGAGTACCGGGATTCTTGAACTGGTGTCAAAACATGCCCATTTGAGTACCTCTGTTGCTGATTCTGTTGAGTCAATGTTCCACTGCTAATAGGCATCAAGTTTTTTATCTTCAACATATCAAGAATCTCGACATACTTCTGCACTCGTTTCACCTTCAAAATAAGCAGGAAATCGGAAACTTTTAATGAGTCATTCAACGATATTGTTCCAAATCGAAGAATTCAGTTTCTAAGTCCTCACGTAATTGAAACTTTTACCTGCATTTTCTTCTGTAATTTGACATCCCCATCAGCAGTAATTCCATCCAATTTAAGCAGTTGATTCATCAATAACTCAATCAGATTTACTAAATCCTTTTCAGCCACTTTTCCACCTTTAGAAATTACAGATTCAAAAGCTGAAACCTACACAATTTGCAATCAAGGAAACAAGTTCACTACAACTAGTTACTGCATTAATTCTTCTAAAACGACTAGACAGTATTAAAATTTTATCGACGCAAGCCTCGGGAATTACCTGTCCACCAAACCTATCCACCTCCAAGCTGATTTCTGATATAGATTTTGCAGCCTTTTCCATTACAGCATTTTTCCTCATCTCAAGATATCGTTTTTCTCGGCTAATCGGATCCTCCATTAGAACAAGTTTCGATTTGTCCTTAACTCCTGCAGTATCAAGAAATGCATTGGAATCCCTCTCTTTATCCTTGTAAAATAACTTTTGATCCTGGTGGTGTAATCCCGTTGGCCCTGTTAACATCTTCTTCAACTCCCCTGAATTCCCAGAAAAAGGCCTTCAGCTTAATTGATTCTAAATCAACAATAACTTAATTCATATAGTATTTAATAACAAATTGCAAGTCCATTTTAAATTAAGAATCAAGAAAATTAGCTGTTAAAATTAACTGCTGAATGAGTATTGAAGAAGGATTGTTCGAAATTACCGAAGGTAGCTTGAGAACTGATATAAATTTGGTGGTAAATCGACCCGTATTTGACCCGAACCCGAATAGTTGGTGGTGGCGCCTGGTTTTCGTCAGCATCGGTACGCTTCTGAACCAGCATTCCACCAGGCCTAAGTTCCCAAGCACCAGTATTTCCACTACCACCTCGGCCGCCAACGCCACCACCGGAACTACCGTTCATAGGTGGCACCTCATTACCGTTCATAATCATTTTCAATAAAAAAATCCCCCGCCTAATTACACCCAACTGGAATTGCTTATGATAATTTCAGTTTGACGCAATTTAATTCAGATCAAACAGTTGATTCATACATATCCCATCTCCGAGTTGAGACAAAATCCAGAAAGCCACGAGTCCAAAACTGCAGCCACGCGTCCACAAAGAAAATTTATATCTATATACTGTAGCCGTAACAGTATGTAATACAGTTATTATGTGTGTGTATATGTACCCCTGTAGTGAGAGAAAGTAAATAGGAAATTTTCACTTCAAATTCAAAAGAAAAATACAAGTCAAACCCGCGAATCTTGAATGCAAAACGAGATCGCCCGAAGAGTCCCCGGCCGGTAGAGAAATGAATTTGATTATGTGACCTCAAGTTGAAATTTAGAGAGAGAAAGAAAGAGGGATTTTCAGATCTCTTACAAGAAGGCTGGAATGTAGAAGAAAGAATCAATTGTTGCGTGAAATCTGCCAAGAATCTTGACTCTTTAATCTTGAAACTCCGATTAGCCCGATGGAAAAAAGTATCCCACAAAACAATGGGAAAAAAAATCAGATAACAATGAATCTTCTATCTCTGATTATGGAGAAGACTCGGGAAAAAAGAGAGAGAAGAAGAAGAAGAAAGAGAAAATATGACAAAACATTGAGCCCAGATATAAAATAATTAATAAATAACACTACTACGTTCAAATCAAGAGATAATGTTTATACACATGAAAGCAGCTCTACAAAGCCGCCAAAGCCTGTGTCGTGTTTAACGTTAATGGATACAAACTACATCTCAACATTGCAATAGGGTTTATCAGACCTAGTCTAGTTGTGTCACGAGCATATTTGATACAGTATTATAAATAATCTCTTCATTCTTCTTCAATAAACTTCTATTTAGGGTATGTTTGATCCACATCATTTTGGAAGAATATATTTTAAAATAGTAGATTGATAGAGAATGTATGGTTGAAAAGGAAGGAAAAATTATTGATGTGATGGAAATTATTATTTTGTTGAAAGATGTGTGGTTGAAAATGAGTAGAAGAATTAGAATGAAAATTTTAATGTGTATCGAACAGGGGCTTAATATCTAATTTCAAGTCAATAATTAATTATAATATTAACAACATACTTTACGAGATTTATAAATTTTTAACTGCACATTTCGTTCACTTTTATCAAAATTTGTTAAAATTTTGATTTAATCTTCACCGTAGGCTAAAAATACTGTAAATGGTTAGATATAACATAACCTTATTTATCTATGCATCCTTCCTTGTGCATGAATTCAAGTTTTTAATTATTTATGAAAGATCAAATACTCAAGATTTTAATAAACGAGTAAATTTAAATGAAATTTTTTTGTTTGTTTCGAAATTACATATTAAAGGGTATTTTTTAAACAAAAGTATTCATTCATTGGGTCATGTTACATGTAACGATTTTTTTTACATAATCTCTAATCGACTACTAACAATAGGGAAGTGTGGACCACATCTTAGGATTTTTTTAATCGTGCAAGGCTCGCTTGCATGTGAGAGGATAAACAATTCAGTATGAATATTACGTACAAATAAATTTATCCTCATTTGTATCCTTGTGGAGGGTTGACCTTAGATAGAATGTGTGAATAGGATAGTAACATGTTGCGGCCACGAGGGTGTTTTAGGAATTTTAGTTGGTTCTAATCATTGTGCAGTTAATTATTGCAATTTACAAAGTAGGACAGATGTCTATGCCTCTTGAATGACTGAGAAAAGCCGGTGGAAAATCTTAATCGACCGATCCCCATGAATTTTCACTTAACTTTCAAATAATATGCTTTTAATTTTAAAATTTTTTTTTTCCTTATTTCTTTTGGTAATTGAGTCATTTAATCTAGTACCAAAAAAAAAAAAAAATTATTCATTGTCAATTATAATCAGTATAATAAGTGACAGTTGAACTCATAATTAATTGTCCCGGTGAAGATAGAGTTAAAATATATTTTAATGCTTTTTATAATAATTAGAAAATTCATAGTCACCTAAACGCTGATAATCATTACTAGGAATGGATAACAATAATATGAGAAGATATTTAGATCAACTTCACTAAGGGATTCTTAACCTTTTAAAAGAAACAAATTTTGCATTGTAGTTGCATAATCTCTCGTGACATTCACTTATCTAAATTTATGAAACTATAGTGACATCTAAAAATTTAGCGTGAGACATGTTTTTTCTAAGAAGTGCATGACAATCTAATAAATAGGGATGACAAAAAAATTCGACCAACTCGATACCTGTGAAGCCCCACCTCAAACGGGACGGAGATTACCCGCTTAATCGGGTATTGGGGGCGGGTTCGGGTTGAGGAGGGGTAAAAGATGCCCTACCCGGCTTAATTTTTTTTTTAGAATTCAATATTTTAAATGAAAACTTTCACGAAATTTCATTAGTTTTAATNNTTTCACGAAATTTCATTAGTTTTAATAGAAAATAACAACTAAAATTATTTGTCTCAATCTAATAAATGGGAGCAATAAAATAAATTATCAAAAACAAAAAATAAAAATAAAAAGGGGTAGTAAACGGGGCAATGACCCTGCCCACGTTGCCATCCAGTAATAAAGATCTAAAATAATTTTTGGGATTGACTATACAATTATAATTAAGCAATTGTTAAAATTTGATTTTTTTTTTTTTTTTTCAAAATCACTTTTCCTCACACTCATTTTCAACAAGAGGTTCTTGAAAAGAAAAATAATTTTTTTGCATTTCATCGCCATAATTTTTTTACTTTTTAGTCACACATTTGTCAAAAATAAAATTCAATTTTAAAATAATCACGTCTCAAAAATCAGCTTCATACCATGGCTAAAATCTTACTTTTCATGTAGTCAATTGAAGGTATAACATCAATTTAGATAAGTTTTTTTTTGGTACTAAAATCTAGTAGATGGAATTTCATATTCACATCATGTGTTGTGCTGTGCTGTAATCTAGAACATGTTTGATAAATATTTCTCAATTTCCTTTTTTAAGAAAATATATTATTTCGTCCATATTTCTATCTTGTAATAATAATAATAATAATAATAATAATAATAGTTTGGCGTTTTACATTGAAATATGCAAAGGACAATTTCATTATTCGGCGCTGTAACAACAAAATGAAAATATTTGCAAAAAGCAATAAATAAATAGTGTGTAGTGAACTCGTGGGACGTGTCGAGTCAAGCCCGATGATAGACAAGTCGAGCAACTCGGCAAGCCTCGTTTAACACCCCTACTATACAGCCCCTTCTTATCTTGACGACTTTGTGATCAATTTGAAGAAAAATTTCCAAACATGTACCAACTTCATTTTCAATCTTTCGCTATTGTATTTCGCACGCAAAATGTTTGGTCCCATCTCGATTGGACCGTGAACAAGAACATGGTCTCCATCTCGTACCCACCTTAATTTTTATTTTGTATTTTATGTTTTGCAGTTTAAATTGTATTTTAAATATAAATAAATAAATCGAAAATTAGGATGAGAAATTCAGATATTTTTAATCCCATCCGATTCTACCTGCACCTGCCCAATTGCCATTATTTACAATCAATTCCAAATGGTTGAAACCATTTAATCTTTGTTTAAATGAAAATTCAACTGCCCACTGCCCATCCACTTTAACCTCGAAAGTAACGTAAAAAAAAAAAAAAAAATTATTTTGCTATGTATTCACTTTCGTCACCTAATAATATTAGAATTTTTAATAAAAAAAAATAATAATGAATTCAATTTGCACGTTAATCTATTGAAGATACGATTAGATAAATATGTACGTTAATTTGAAAATTTACAATTTTAAGTCGGTCGACAATTTTGAACAATATTCGAAAACTTGATCTTGGGTATTGTCAAATAAAATGTTACAAGACATAAAATAAGAAATAAAATCTTTTTTCTTTATTTAATTGCAAGTCTTTATAAATCTATGCTTATATAGACATTAAAGGATATTATTTTATGAGAAAAGCTGAAAAATAATAATCATTCTATGATGAAAATTGAAAATTAGGAGCATCATTAGGGTTGATGTCTGATGTTAAACTGTGGTCCTCTTTTTCTAGAATTAATGATTGTGTAATGACAACATATATATCCTAGGATTGCTATTTCATTGTTGTCCCTCACTACTAGTATTGTGCAACCTGCTACCCCCAAACATAGAAAGGGTATTAAATTGACAACCTGCCATATTTTTCCATTTTTATCTTCAAAAAACTAATATATTTCTTCAATTTCTTTTGTAAATTATTTAATAAGTTTGCTACACTTATTGAGAATGCGTTTATGTTTGGGACTAGATCGACCCTAAAAATTCTGAGGCTCTATTCGACTAACTATAGGAATGACAAAAAATTCATTAAACGCGATATCCGTGGACTCACCCCTTACAAGATGAGGATTACCCGTTTAATCTAGTACTTTGGACGGGTATAGAGCGACGAATGCTGCCCTAGGACGGGTATGGAAAATATACTCCCAGATATGTGACCCTTCCCATTTACAAGTCAACAAAAAAATATTTATTAGTTATGATGTGTCGATTAAAGAATTATTTGAAAATATTTTGTTCTTGGTACGGTATTTGACATGATTAAAGAATAAAGTATGTCATAGATTAGCAGGTTAATTATCTGAATCATTATTGAACTTTGCTTAAAGTTTCCATCGAGTCACTGAACTTTGTAATTTGTTATCCCATCCATCACTCACTTAACGGATGGTTAAAAAATTGACGAATTTGTTGATGTGGCTGACGGAATTGCGTTCGCGGCAATCTATTTCCCACTTTGCATATGCATCAATAGCAATTGAAAAACTGAGTGATTGATTGTATGACAAATTACAAAGTTCAATTATTAACATGGTAATTTTTAAAGTTTAGTGACCCAGTGGAAGCTTTACGTAAAGTTTAGTGATGATTCAAGTAACTAACCCTATTTCCTCATGTTCTT